TATCTCTTTTTCGCATTGTTTACAATCGTATTGGAATCACTACACTGGAAAAAGTCGTTATTACTATTATTACTTGTCCAAGCACGCCACATTGAAATTAAAATAATAATTTCAACACTGAAATCGCGATCAATTCCTGAACTGAACACGACGGCGATAACCATCCCCGCATTCCCCGATTTCTATTCGTCTCCCTAACATTACTTCAAATTTAATTTTATGACTCTTCAGCCAATCATAAACTCGGTTTTTCTATGTGTTGTTTTTTTTAGCCTTAGAGAGTGCCCTCAACTTTGAGAGTACACAATATCGTTCACTTCGACTATACCAACGCGACATCTACAAAAAACATTCAGATAATCTTGACAACTAACAATTTGCGACAAAAAACTGTCAAGCTATCGTTGAAAAATGCCGAGAGGAGCAATTTTATTACTATGACAATGAGCAAATGAAGGCTAGACTCATAACTTATGTAGAGCTTACATCAAGCCACAGGAATATCAAAGTTAAACCACTCAAGTTATAAAAACATCGAGAAAATGGTAAAAAAACAACTCTGCATAATATTATAAAACAAAGTGTCCCCGCAGCGTTAGTCAGTCTACCTAAACGCAATAAATTCAAAAACTGCCGAATGCTTTTCCATACCGCTTTCACCAAAAAATTACTTTTTTGTTTTCTACTTCGTCACCAATGTATGGGTTACTTCAAGAAAAGAAAATTAAAAAAAATCAATAAGTCCATTCAAAAATGTTTCAACGACCAACAAGAGGTTAATCACTCCCCATTGTTGAACCTTTTTCATAAAGCCAATAATTATATTCTCATTCAAAATTTACCCACTGTCTAAGAACTTAGATTGTAATTGTGTTTACAAACTCTACCTGTTATCACAAAATGTACCTGTTGTTCAAGAACTGAGATTGTAANCAATTTAATTAGCTGGAGGTATTTTATTTTCAGCGCATACTGTAAAGCGTAATGTGATGTACCTACTGGAGGAGATTTCAAGATAAATTTTGTATTTTTCATTGAACAAATCAAAAACAACAAATTATAACAGTGTTGAATGTAGATAATTATCTCGATAATTATCATCAAAAGAATAACTAATTTCCTAGTTCAAATTAGATTGAAAAATGTAACATTTTTAGAAGACCTGCCAAGTATCACATGTCTAATATATCTTACTCCAGTTATGAAATGATAGGTATTTACTATTCAATTCTACCAACAATTCAAAATAATGATATTTTGAAAAGAACAAATATATGATTAAGAAATTTTCAGCATTAAAAGGCAAATCTCCAAAGTCAATTTATGATAATCGATATTGTACGAATATTATCATTACCCAGATAGTGTAGTGAAAGTAATTCTTTTTAAAAACTATGTTTTCAAAAACTTACAATTGCGATTACAATAGAATTCATTTATAAAGATAGGTATACCTTATTTATCATAACACCTGTCACTCTTTCCATCTTTCCTATATCGTTTAATAATTTTAATTTAGAAACGGTACAGAAGTCTTAAAAAACATTCGCATGTTCTTGACAATTAACAATTTGCTGCACATACTCTCATTACAAGAAACGGTGTTTCAGCGTTTGTTGTAAAGTGCTGACAGTAGCGAAATTCTCACTACGGCAACAAACAAAATGAAAACTCGAATCATGACATAAAGCCTACCTTAATCCTCAAGAATATCGGGGTAAATCCACTAAAGTCACAAAAATTCACTCATGCACCAAGAAAACGGAAAAAGAAACAAAAGCCGCGTCGGAAACTAGATAAAGCGCTACACCGCGTTCACTAACAGCGTTCAAGGTAAACTGAAGCCCGATGCCAAGTCCGCCAACGGTAGAAACAAGTTATGACTCGGCTGAACGGAAAAATGCGCTCTTCTTATTGGATAAAGGCCGCGAGAGAACACCGTGCGGTGCACTTTTGTTTTTCACTTCTTTTTGGCTTTGTTTGTATTAGCATCTGGCCGTTTTTAACCACGACTGCATCCTTGCACGACAACTGACAGTCAACCCTCCGCAAGGGTGCTGTGGGCGCACGAGGGCGCAAGGTGCGACGAATCTTCCCGCACAGAAAGCAGCAGATTGACGACGTAATTAACAAACCCGTCGAATAAAAAAGTAGATATAGTGAATGACCCGGTTCTGGGTGAATGCCTCATTATAAAGCAAACGACATCTTTATCTGCTTGTTTGAAAGTAGGTGGCAAATGTATCTTATTACTTGTTCTCCGTTCGGATCTCCATTGCCAGATTTGAAACCTAAAAGTGTCTAGTGGTCCAGTCATCTTGGTCAAAATTAGGCAATTATTTTGGAATTTGAGATAGGTATAGTCGAAGTAACCGGTATTGTGCATAGTTAAAGATGTCGGCGACCTCAAAGGCCAAAAAACCAATACAGAGAAATAAAGCCGCTGCCAACTAGTCCACGTGGACTGTAGACTTTGCGGTTCGTATTGGATGACTTTTACTTACCGAGTTTTATGATTGGCTGAAGTGTCATAAAATTAAATTTGAAGTCATGTTACGGTGACGAAAATAGAATGTGGGGATGAGTATCGCCGTTGTGTCGTCAATGTTCAGTTCAGGAACTGATCGCGATTTGAGTGTTGAAATTCGATATTATTGCAGTTATAATTACTTAAAACTTTCGTTATCTGTTTAAAATGTGGCGTCCTTGTACAAGTACTAATAGTAATAATGAGTGTGATAACAACGCAGACTTGTTCCTGTGTAGTGATGGTGAGCTATGCGAAAAATAGATGCATTTGAGTATTTAAACACAGAGAGTATGTTTCAATATATATAAGAATCTACATATCAAGTTTGGTTTCGAGGGAAAAAAACTATTACAAGCAACATCAGATTTGACCGAAATTCCTTTCTCAACTGTAAGTAAAATAGTCAATAACAAACCTTATGAACGCAAGACGCAATGTGATACTGGATTACCAAAACCTTTTGATGTTCATCTAATAAAATCATTGAAAAAAACAATGTATGACTGTTACAAAAGTAATAACTTTCCTACAACTGAAATCATAAGGAACAAATTTAATACTTCCGGCCCTAACGTGAACTGCTGTGACAAAACTCTTCAGAATTGGATAAATAAACTAGGATTTAGATTCAAAATAATAAACAAACGTCACGAAATTTTCATAGACAGCCTAGTCTCCTAGAGTAATTAGACAATCGCAGTGTATTCCATACCTTTTAGATAGAGTAAGGCTGGGGGCACGAAAATCGCGACGGCCGAGCGAAGGCGACCGCAGTGCGGCGCGGGGCTATGAGGAGAAGTATTTTATTTGTAGATTTGTCATTGTAGATGGCAGCGGTTACATACAGATATTTCAAAATTGGAAATACGCTTCATATTACAAGCATGACAAGTTGAATGTTGTCCATTAGTTATTGGACCCCATCAGACTTATATCCGACGATACAGCCCGTTGTCATGACCGGGTGGGATATCTGTGTCCCCAATGCACAAACTTTACAAGCATTGAAGGAGACCCGGTTATATGTTCCGGTGGACATTAGTCAAAACACAATTTAATATCAGTGGAAAAAAGTTCACTTGAATAGTGGTCTATCGTTGCGACCAACTATTCTATATTTACAGAATATTTAAAAATTCTTATCAAGGGACCAACATGAAAACTATAGATTTTGAACTAATTCAAAATATATTTATTATCGATCAAAGGTGAACCATTCCTCACAAAGTCATTTCTTTCAAATTTCGTAATCCAATCTTCAATCATATCTACTACACGGGAATACAGAACATACATTTCCATGCAACTTCATTTTTCCAATATCACGAACCAACGACATATGAGCGTAACATTTTGAGGAAATGACAGGAAATTCTTCTCTGAGATGAAGAGAATCGTAGTTGATTCAGATTCGTCATTGTAGATGGCAGCAGTTACTTCAAATTTGGAAATGCACTTAATATTTGAAGCATGCTCAAGAGTAACCGTTTTTTGGGTGTTGTATATTTATTCACCAACAGGTTTATTTAGACTATTTATTTTGTATATTTCTTACGGAGAATAAATTGATTGATTGAAAATGAAGTCACACCTCATACACCCTTCGAACAATTTTGTGTATGGTTTGTTGCCAGCTCCCAATTTATGCGGAATTTTTAATCCCTTACCTTTCATTTGTCCTGTAACGTATGTGTTTTTTTCTTTCGGATTCGTAATCTACGCATCAAAATACGTAAGTACAGTCAAACATTTTTTCAAAATCGCCGGGTGTCCACATAACGAAAATTTACTCCGCCACCAAATAATCAGTCTTGACCCGCTCGTCCTTCTGACGAGTATCATTCCTAAGGGTAAGAGAACTAGGCTCCAACCTGCTTGAAATGAAGATGACTTCCACGTAAATGTGCAATAGATTATTGAATTGTCAATAATTTGCTACTACACCAGGTGTGGAAATCAATAAAATACATAATTTTCACATTACAAAAGAATCGGTAAATGACACGTTTCTTGTAAATATTGTCATAGAATGAGTTTCGCTTAGCGCATTGTGTCGCGCACAGTGTGCTTGCTAATCAAGTCCCGAAAAGAACAGGCAGACAACCGGTCTTAGTCGTGCCGGCAAATAGTAAAAGGAAGCAAAAATCATCAGTGATAGTGCACTATAAATTTGTACCTTCATGTGATCCAGTGAATTTCTGTGTTCTTCATACTGCTGCCTACAAATGGTAAAGGCGACAGCGATCAGCAATCCAAATTATCACCGAAGTGACGATTTCCAGCCATTCTCCTGACAAGTATCAAGGTAGGCCATATTTTTCAGCTCGGGATTGTTATTTCGATTCATATTTACAATGAACCTACTCATTGAATACAGTCCATTTAAGCATATTATGATTATAACCGCGGCAAAATTAGCAGCAAGAATTTTNCCGTAAACGTAATGCATATCAGCCATTTCCTCATTGACGTGTCCATAATATCTCATCCAGAAGAAAAACTCGAGAGCAACGAGGTAAATTCATCCGGCCATTGTATAGCTTAATATTTTCATAATAAGAATAAAAAGTGTGGCACATATTTTTCAACCGAGATTACGAATTCTTAAATTAATATTGTACAAAGTTGGGCTTAGTTCCAACTAGAGATTCACAGTGTCATTTTTGTAGGAGAAACCCAAACATATTCTAAAGTTAACCTAATCCAAGGACGTATTTTGGTAGTTGTATTGTCAATCGAGGAATCGACATCAGAACAGACATTCTGAAAAATATAATTTTTTTAACATTACCTTGAATTATGTGTATAAAGTGTATGAGGGAAAATAAATTCCCATGAAATACTAAAAAATCTAGAAAGCCGGCATGCAAAACTGAATTTTATTATTCATGCAATCTATGCAACAATTTACTATCATATATACTGTGAGTAAACCAATTCAGGCTCGCCCCAACAATTTTTTTGTTTCTCCTGGTATCAGTGTGGAGTTTTGTTGGTTCTAATATTAAATTATTTCAGAAGTTTCGTCCGTTTTATGAGTCAACGTCAAACTGTAATATCTCAGTGAATACTTCAGTGAATACTTCAATTTAATTGAAATGAGCTCTATTTGCATTTGTGTACTTTTGTCAGTGTGACACAATACGATCAAATACGTCAGCAATAATCAATCCAAATTGTGATATCTTTTGAATCACCGCAATTCCACATTAATATACCAGAAGAGACTAAAAAGTCACAGGGGCGAGCTTGGAAATCATATATTCACAATCATGGATAGTATATTAGAGTAGGTTATCCATGCGATCCAAGCGATCATCTTCCAAATACCTTATAAATCCTCAAAAACACTTTTCCGATGCAAAATTCTGACACTTCGAATAGACATTTCAACTACTTGTTGACAATCCATATCAAAACTCACTAATATAGTTTGTGGTTTCCACTGTAATAGGTTTACCAAACCGTGACAGGTGGTTCGCTATGTTATCGCTTCTTCAAGCAGTTCTTGGTGAAGCGAAAGGCATATTACGGTTTCGTAAACCTACTGTTACGTTTTCCCCGTGAGTTCAACAATAATTGACAACGCTGTGCAATTAAACTCAGCTTTATTTCATTACTACACCGCCACAAAAACTTCAACTGAACATATCGCCTTATTAACTCACGTACCGCATTTTCAACTAGACTGGCCTCATCTGTCTGTTGGTAGTGCGTATATATCCCAATGGCAATCTTTGGAAGCCGATAGGAATATTCTCGAAGCGCCGCGTCACCCAGCACTATCGAGAAGCACGAGTCGCATCGAGCGCGACCTTGCCCAAGTCACAGTTGATCGACGAGGATCAGTAGCGATCGGTGTTATTTTTTTGAGGGATAATTTACAACACAACCTCCTTCACTGAGAATGTTCGTCTAGAACAACGTTCCAAGTAGGAACATCACGACCCATGTAAGGACTCAATCGACTTGCCGAGATTTTATTTCGAAATGTATTTTTCCTAGAACTTTGGACTTATTTCTGGGTGAAAATTATATTTTGTACACCAGATCGTTTATCTTTTTGATTACCAAGTAATGTCCATGCCATGGTGTCTGCATTTTGGGATACAAAACTTTTCCGCCGTTGGGTTGGTTAAGCTCTCCTTGTAGCTCATCGGCATGGACTTCCTGTCAAATTTTATCTCCATCGTATCGCTGGAGAACTGTGATTTGGAACTGTCAAATTTGTGGACAATTTCCAGTCTCCCCGACAGATCAAACACATACTCTGAAAGGGATGCCCATTGAGATTCATCAGATGGGCTGCCACATATTAAGTCTATGGGAAGCTTCAGTTATTGGCGGGTTAACAACATGGATGGTGTGTAACCTGTCGGGTTATATGCCAACAGAAAGAGGGGAACTAATTTATCCCAGTCTCTTTGGTTTTCGGAGACAAACATCGAGAGGTAGTTATTTACGAGGCATTTGCGCCTTTCGATCATTTCATCGGATTATGGCTTGAAAGCAGTTGTTCTTGTCTTCTTTATCCCCAACGAGTCATCCTTTCCTTCCATTTTAATCAAGTGTCGGCCAATTCCACTACATTAGTATGTTTGAAATTGTAACACTTTCATTAATGCTAGTTTCAAAGAAAAAACTTCTTTTTTCTGAAACCCTCAGAGGATTTCCTAAACAATTTTTGCAGATCAATCAGTAGGTTAGGTTGGGTTTAAAGTGACTGGGTCTATTTGCCCCTTCACCACAATCCGCAAGGGTTTATTGTGGCTCACACCTATTCACACTCGACCAAATAAACCCAGCTCCTTGACGAAGCTGATTAGTTTGAATGGTGAGTGGTCTTTCAGGTCAGATGGTAAGAGTACGGCTCTGCCGAACTCTAAAAACCTAATTCGGTCCCCAGTGAAACAGGCACAAAGTATACGCTCTGCTGTTTCATCTGTTTCCAAACAGAGGCGACACACACTGTCTTCCAACAGTCCGAGTCTCTCTGCATATAATGATTCAAATGACAGTGACCTATAAGAAGGCCTAGACATCGTAGTTCATCCCTACTGTGGTCCAACAACTGTTTGATATCAAGCTTCGAAGGGTGAATAAACGCTTTGGAGTGAGCCAATTCTGGAAGATTCTGCCAGAAGTCCATAAATCTTCTTGCCATCCAGTTGTTCAATCTTTGTTTGGCAAAGCCTAAAGCGATGCCAAAGACAGGTTCTGGTCTGATGAGGCTGCTTGCAGCACCCTCCTTTGCAAGGGAGTCAGCAGCTTCATTGCCTTCCAGGCCAGTATGGCCAGGAATCCAGACCAGAGACAATCTGTTGAGTCTTCCTATCGAGAAGAGTAGTTTTTGGCAGTTTGCTACCAATTTAGACGTTGCTCGGTAGGAGCCAAGAGCTTCCAAAGCCGCTTGGCTGTTCGAGAATATTTTTATTGACTTGTGTATGAGGTTGGATTTATCCAATCTCTCCGCACACAATTCAATAGCGTAAATTTCCGCTTGATATACAGTCGCATACGTTCCTAAGCAGGTAGATAACTCTGTCCTGGGTCTGCGACTAAAAACACCTGCACCAGAACCGGAAGGTGCTTTTGATCCATCTGTGAACCAACAACTATCTGCTCTTAATATTTTCTTCTCCTGGAGGATCCAATCCTCTCTACTCGGGAACTTTATAAGGCAGTTCGTAGTTGACAGTTGGAGACATAAAGTCAGAGGTCATTTCCAGAATGCTGGAACCAACCAGTGTCAACCAACAATCTGTTGATTTGTGCAACTGGCAATGTGCACAAGTCTGTATTCAGTCCATCTAGTCTCACTTTCCAGAAGAATGTGGAGAGGAGGTAGATCTAGAAGAATCTCCATGGCCGCTGACGGTATGGTACTGATGGCACAACTGATAGCCAAACAAGCCTGTCTCTGTAAGCCAGAGAGCTTCGCTTGGGCCGTTTTCTGTAAAGCCTTCGGCCACCAGGCAATTGCACCATAAGTGATCATTGGTCTGATCCAGTTGATCACAAATTCTTTGACATGTCCATAGAGACAGTCTGGCTTTGTGTAAAACTTTTTCCAAGTGAGTCTTTTCAGGTGAGTCTTTTATCAAGGACAATGCCAAGATATTTCACCTCCGTTCCAAATGGAATGACCTCACCATTGAGGAAAAGTGGCGTTAGATCGTCCAATTTTCTCCTCCTGGTGAAGGGGATTAACACAGTTTTGCTGGGGTTGACAGACATCTGCTCCCTCAGGCACCAACTGTGAACATTGTTTAACGTGCTTTGGAGGATATCACAAGCTACCCTTTCCGACCTCGACCTTGCCAGGATGACAAGGTCATCTGCATAAGCTTGCAGACAACTTTTCTTCTGTCAAGGGTATCAAGCAGACTATGCATCAGGAGCGACCACAGAAGGGGAGATAGTACCCCACCTTGAGGGCAGCTCCTGGTGACCCTAAACCTAATGGCCTCTCCTTGGAGTGTTGTAGTTTCAGTTCTGTTTACCAGCATGACAGATCCAGCCAGTTATGGTCGATTCTATACCTGTCCTAGCCAGAGATGATCCTATATATTTAGGTAGTGCATTGTCAAATGCTCCTTCAATATAAAGAAATACAGCAACCGCAATCAGTAACTGAGTTACAACAACGTAAAAGTGATACAAATACAATGAGTTTTCAGGAGTAGTAGAGATCATTACCAAGTGACACCAACTTCATTGATTGAATACCCTTCCGAAAAAGTGTCACAGATCTAATTTGTGAAATAATATAGTGAATTCAGTCTACGAGACAGGTTAGAATTATATGTATCAGCACACAGAGAACATGCACATACAAAAAATTAAACCTACCATCATTACTGTGTTCATTTTCAAAATGTGTGGAAACCCTTACACCAAGCTATAAGAGATAAAAGTAAATCATCATCAAAATGGTATATACAATATTTCTCATTGACAATTCTCAGAACCGAACCATTATTTTATTATGTACAAAAAATGTTCCTTCCACCCAACAGTGATGAGATGATACTTACGAAACTGATATGGTATTATATATCCACTCTTTCCAACTTTTGCTAGTGGAAGAGTCTATTCTGGATTCTAATGCTTCGCATAAATTTCTTCTATCATGTGATCTTCCTGAATGTAGGTCACACAAAATCTTTTTCTTGCACGCTATATCACAGCTTGGTCTAGCAGGACTTGCTTTATAATAATATCTGGAAAATCAAAAAACCGTCATATAATTTCATGGATGGTAATATTAGGTTTATTCAAAAGTTTTGTCCGTTTTTATGAGTCTACTGCAGACTGTAATGTCTCGTTGCATACTTATTCAATGTAATCGAAATGAGCGCCATTCAAATCAGTTTACTTTTTCCAAAGTATAACAAGTCGATTAATTCCGTCGGTATTAGATGCAGCCGACGAAGGACGTCTTTGTCTGGTCTTGATTGGCGAAGGTTCACCGGTAAGAAAGTGCTTGAAAAAAAGGTAGTCGGTTGGCGAAAGGTCTGGGGAGTATGGTGGCTGAAGCAGAACTTCGACGCCCAATTCGTTTGATTGTCGCACGATAATTTGTGAAACATGCGGATGGAGCAGGATCGGACATGTTCTGTTGTCCAGTGCTGGATGCTGCTCACAGTATATACCACGACACAGTGGAATAAATATTCATTGAGATAGGGACAAAACTTTTCCACAACCTAATATAAATTATGTTTTGTTTAGAATAGTTTGATGAACGTCCTCACTTGTAAAATAATTCAAAAAGCTTGGGATCATTTGACATCTTGGTGACAAGCTCGTCCCAATCTTGTGGCCTCAAAGCATCCAATCCAAAGGCCTGTTTGGCTGTGTACAACTTGAACCAAATGGGGTAACCATATAAATTCGCTTCTCTAAGATTCATCGTCCAAGACTCATGATCAACCACGGCCTGGAAAAAACCAGCACAAGATTTATCAAAATATATTTTGATTGCTTACGAGTTATCTCAGTATAATTTTTCACTTATTTTATGTATTCTGGCAAGGGAATTGGTGATTTTTTTTATTTTTCAAATTGACCATTTTTAAAAGAAAGGACTAGTTTTCTTTAGAATATTCTGAGAAGTTGATAAATGTGGTATTACCCTTGTTGATTTATCATGGTCTCCGTCCACGTAATAAATTCTATATCCAGGATTCAAGTCATAGTAGGGAGTAACAGATGGACCGACGTAGCCTATACTCACTGCTCTACCTGAAAATAGTAATAATAATATTGCACAAAAGTTTTCCATTTATAGAGCAAAAATTAATAACTCAACTGTGAAATTATAGCATCATTCCATTTAGATACAAAAGGAAATGAATTTCATACACAACAAAAATAAAATAAAAAATGAACTATAAATCATTATGAATTATCCATTACTGACAAATGTGCTGCTCACATATACACATGCGTTAGAAAACTGATTTGCGTTACTACACATCAAATTCTGGTGATTTTAACAAATAAATTTGTATGAGCTTTGTTGCACAAAAAAGTTGTATTATTTCTAGATGTTCATCCATTACAGAAAGTAACTCCGAAGAATCAGTTCTACCATTCAACAACTAAAAAAAGAAAAAAACTAAAAAAAGAACATCCCTTGTTAAGATACAGCCCCTTAAAGGGGGTACATAAAATTTGTATAACAATTTTTTTCACAAGCACTGAAAAATTTACAATATTGAAATCAACCTGATGTTTTGTACTACCAAAAAAACACTTAGACAGTAATTTATTTGGTTTACCCCATGGTTGTAAGGGGTGGAAAACGCAACCCCCAAAATTTATTTCCAATGTAACTTTTTGTCTTATCATTTATTTATCATTTAAAAATTTATTTCCAATAGCCTGTTTCATTCTAAACAAAAAATGTATCTTGGGTTTTTTGCCCAAAATAAACCAGTTCGCAGCAAAAAGTTATTTTACTAACGACTACAGAGATACATCGTCATAAATGCGAACTGGATTTATTGTTATTTTGTAGTTAGTACCTGCATTAAACGATTAAAGGGTGATAAACAGAACTAATTTATTATTAACAAAACACAAAACATGTAGAAATCATAATAAATGTTCAATATGTCTACCTTCAGACATTACGCATGCGTCTAGACGTCGGCGCATTGAGCCACGTATTCGCTCAAATATTCCTGGAGTCTCTCTGATTACCCTGCA